CTTTTGAGTTAGAAGGCGAGTAAATTCGTATTCTGTCAGAGGAAACTGTTGCTTTTGCTGAAGGGTGATGGCAGTCTGTGAAGTTAACTCTTAATCCTTTAGACGCTGGCCAGTATGGGGCCACTAGCCACATGCGGCCGTGTAAAATTTTAATCAATTAAAATGTGAGACTCAGTCACACTGGCCACATTTCAAGTGCTCAGTAGCCACAGGTGGTTAGTGGCTGCCATATAGGAGGGTGCAGAGAGAGAGCATCTGTGCCCTTGCAGCCGGTTGTGTTGGGTGAGGCAGCTTTAGAGACGAGCAGCTGGATGAAGTTAGCTGTGTTACTCTTTTACAGCAAATGTTCAGGAGGAAGGTGCTGCTTGCGTGTGTGCTACTGATTTTTTTTTTTTTTGGTACATATTTATTTATTTATTTTTTAAATTGAAACACAGTCAGTTGTAATGTGCCAGTTTCTGGTGCACAGCACAATGTCCCCATCGTGCATACACATATATTTGTTTTCATATTCTTTTTCATTAAAGGTTATTACAAGATATTGAGCATAGTTCCCTGGGCTATACAGAAGAAACATTTTTAAAAATCTGTTTTTATATATAGTGGCTGACATTTGTAAATCTCAAACTCCTGAATTTATCCCTTCCCACCCCCTTTCCCTGGTAACCATAAGATTGTTAACTATGTCTTCGAGCCTGTTTCTGTTCTGTAGATGAGTGCATTAGTGTCCTCTTTTTTCTTTCTTTCTTTCTTTTTTTTTTCAGATTCCACATGTGAGTGATATCATATGGTATTTTTCTTTCCCTTTCTGGCTTACTTCACTTAGAATGACCATCTCTAGGTCCATCCATGTTGCTGCAAATAGCCTTGTTTTATTCTTTTTTATGGCTAGGTAGTATTCCACTGTATAAATGTACCACACCTTCTTTATCCAGTCATCTGTCAGTGGACATTTAGGTTGCTTCCATGTCTTGGCTACTGTATATAGGGCTGCTGTGAACATTAGGATGCACGTATCTTTTCGAATTAGAGTTCCCTCTGGATATATACCCAGAAGTGGGATTGCTGGATCATATGGTAAGTCCATTTTTAGTTTTTTGAGGAATCTCCATACTGTTTTCTATGTCACACCAAACTACATTCCCACCAGCAATGGAGGAGGGTTCCCATATAAGCATTGAAATTTTTGAAGAAAAAGAAATTGAAAACCTTAGGTGATAAGAAAAAGAGTATTTAAGGATAGAATGTTCTATATATTAGGATATTGATCCTACTTAATTAAATTGGAGAGAATTTATCTCTCACAGGTTTGCCCAGCATTTCTGAGAGCAGAGATTGGCGAACTATCTATAAAGGACCAGACAGCAAATATTTTGGACTTTGCCGGACACACAGCCTCTGTCACAGCTGTTCAGCAATGTGTGTTGTGCACACAGACAGTCTGTGAACAGTGAACTTGACTGTGCTTCTGTCAGGCTTATTTACCAAAGGAGCTGGTGGGCTGTATTTGGCCAGTGCTGCTAAGCACAGTCCTGCCACAGGGATTTGAAAGACAGAGAGAGGCAGACACTCTTCCTACTGGTCTCAAAAATATAAAATGAGTTCGAGTTTGCTAAGTGGTAATTTTAAACTTGATGTAGCACAAATAATGGAATATATGAACTTTATGAATGATTTACTGTCGTGAAGCAGATGGTTTCTAAGAAGCTGGTTGAAATGTTTGCCTTCTGGGCATAGCTTTTGTATGAAGCGAAGTGAAGTAATGCAGGACCTGATGGGTAAGACTTAATGTGATATTGAAAAATACCTTATTCAAAAAAATTATAAAGGAAATGGTAAAATCAGAGGGTATAAGAGCAATATACAAAAGCTAGTTTTGTTTCTGTATGTTAGAAGCGAACAGAACAAAGTTTAAATTAAAAAAAAAATCCACAGTAGCATCAGAAGAAATGATATGCTTAGGAATAAATTTATCAAAGAAATGCAAGACCAGTAAACTGAAAATAAAAATCTGTGCTGACAGAAATGAAGGAAGACCTAAAGCCTGCAGAGAGATACCACGCTCGGGGATGGGAAGCCTCAATGTCGTTAAGGTGGCAGTTCTCCTGCAGCTGATCAGTAAAGTCCGTGCAATTCTTTTCAAAATTCTGGCAGGCTTTTGGTTGCAAAACTGACTGTATAAATTCACTAAAACTCATTGAGTTGTACACTTAAATTAGGTGAGTTTTATGGCATGTAAATTTTACTTCAGTGGAACTATTAAAAAGATAAAACCATTGTAAAACAAAGTACAAGAAGGAAGCTCAGTATTACAGCAGCATACTTTTTGAGACTTGGTTTAAGGATTTTGGATGTTTTCTCATTTAGGGAAATTGCTAGGTGTTCAGAGGCATCCACATTTTTCTGAGTTTGGTTATAGGAAGAAAGGGTCAGAAGGAACATTGAAAACCTACAATATCCTTGAAGGAAGAAACTAGATGTGGAAGGAGAGACCTGAGCTGTCTTTAAGTATCGAAAGGAAGTTTGCGTGCTGTCCTTGGGAGTGCTGACATGGCCCTGGTACCCGCTAGGTGAGATGTGAAGACGTACGTGTTTTGTTGTTTTGTTTTGTTTTTGGCCCGAAGAGGGAGAACCTCAGTTACGGTGAGAATATTTAGCAGTGTGATCTGTGAGATGCTGCATTTGCGATTAGAGATATTTAACTAGATGTGCAGGGGACGCTCTGGTCTGGGCGTGGGGGGAGATGGGTAGCACCAGACACCAGCTGAGTTCTCCTCAGATGGAGACTCCCGACAAGAGGCTGGTGGAACTGCTGGAGCCCCAGGAAGCGAGACGTTTCAGAACCTTTTCCTTAAATCCCCAGAGGGCCTCAAGTAAAACGGAGTTTTACAGTGTCACCGCTGACTCACGCTTCTCTCTTTCACGCCTCAGTTTACCCCTTCTTTCTCGTTAGATAACTAATACCTCTCCCACCAAAAACACGAGGGTGGGGAGAGGGACTTGAGCTGCGTGTGCACCCTCGTTCTGGGGGTGAGAAGGGGACTCTGAGATGCGAGGTAGTGGTTCGAGGTCCCACAGCCGAGAAAGTGGTGGATTTGATGCCACGTCTGTTCTGCTCCGAGGCCTGTTGTCTGTTCTTCTATCCCACGCCTGCTGCTTTAAGTAACTTAACTTCATCTGAGACTCTTCACACTATCTGTCACAGGCAGCTTGCCCTTTCTCTCTGTTTGTGGGAAGGAAGATGGTTCCCGGTGGAGGAATCACAGATTCTGGCCGACAGAGGAGACTGCTGGGAGCGGGGCGAGGAGGTGTAGGTGAACTGCTTCCTCCCGGTGTGGGCATCGTGCTGTGTCAGAGCCGTCTCCAGGGTTTATTCTGAGTGTGTGTGTGTGAAGGTTGCTCAGGGGAAAGCGTCTGGTGATTTCTCTTTTCTGACCTTAGACAGCCTCCCTGTTCCTGCAGGGATCATGAGCTCTGGAAAGCAGCTGCCGGGGCCTGTTTTACAAATTTGGGCACTGTTCTTCGTAGCTGCAGCCCAAAGACCCAGGGCTGCTTGCTTCAGCAAAGCCTTGAAGTTTGCCCCAGCTCGTCTCCCTGTCCGGGGACCCTCCTTCCCCGGGGCCCTCCCTGGGGCACCGAATTCCCACCTCTCCCCCCTCCATCAGTTCCTTTAGGCCCGGGTGCTGGGCTGTTAGCTCACAGGACATCTGACTCCGGGGCAGGGAGCAGCCAGTAGCGGGATTTATTCAGGGACCACTTAGCAGAACTTTGGTTCCAACAGGCTCAGCCGTGGAGCCATTCCTCGTGCAGAAGGCGTGGCTGGGAGGGGCAGGGGGGCTGTGTCCAAGTGTGAAAAAGCCACGAGCAGGAAACTCAGGGCAGGCCTTCCTGGAGGACAGGCTGCATGAACTTGACAGGGGGACCCTAACCAGCTGAGAGAGTGTGGTGTGGACGGACTCCTGACTTAGTCTGTAGCCTGGTGGTGGGGAGTGCTTGTGTGCACACGCGCATGTATGCCTGTGCGTGTGTGTGCATGGGCGCCTGCAGGGGAGGGATGTTGTTACATCTGCAGGAACACTTTGTGGGGCCTTCTGTCTCCTGTGGCTGCAGTGTGTCCCCTGTCCGGTCACAGGAGGGGCAGACGAATCCCTGTGTTTCATGTCCTGAGGGATCTAGGTGGGGCTGAATGCTTGCTTTTTTAAAATCTAGGAATTTCTCTAGCATGTACTATTTGAAAGCAGACACATGCATGCCTTGTTGGGGAAATTTGTATGGGCACAGTCCTGATGTGTGTCTTGGTCCACACTGGGGAGTAAGACCACAGGAGGGTCTGCGTATGTGGGGTTCCTCCCAGAGATGCTCAGCTGGGTGGCTCCGGCCGTGAGACACCACCGCTGTTTGGAGTTACCTTGTTTACTTCTTGGTCTGTCTCTGCCCCTGGAGTGGAGGTGTCATTGGAACACAGACCCAGCCTGTCTTATGTACGGGGCTGTCCCCCGAGCCTAGCAGGTGCCTGGCACGTGGCTGTTCTCAGTGAGTGTTTGTTGAAGGGATGAATTTAGGATCCAGCTGTTTCCCTCATCCTCCACCAGCCCTCTTGCCATGTTCTCCGTGAATGTTCTCCTCTCCTGGAGAATCACGTGTCTCTTCTCCCAGAGGCTTTGTCTGCTCTGTCACCTCTGACTGTTCCTTCTCCCACCCCACCCCATCCTCACCCTTCAGATCTCACTGTAACATTCTGTCCTCAGAGATGCCTTAATCTAGGACAGATTACTTGTTACCCACTCTCGTGGAATTGTTTTTCTTTCCTTTGAGAATTTACCTCAGTGTTTAATCATAAATGTACTGGAGAGTTCCCTGCACAGTGTCCTCCTCTGACAGACCGCACATCCGGGGCAGCAGTCACGGCACGCCTGTCTTGTTTTCCGAATGTTATATGCTACCTGGGCTGTTGTGTGTTCCCCATAAGTCTCCACTGAATGAATGAACGAATGATGACATGGCTTCTGCGTGACAGCAAGGATGGACACCTGGAGACAACATGTATGAGTGTGTACAGTGAAGCTGTGTCTGTCTGAGAGGTTGCCAGGCTTTGTATGGGATTATGTTGTAAAAGCTGTAGGAAGGTGATTCTGTTCCACCTCGCATGACTCAGCTACCCACCAGTTAGAACAGACGTTTTGTGAGTGCATGGTGTTCCCAGAAACTTGGAGACAGTGGACCGCTGAGTTGGAGACTTTCAGGCAGTCAGTCACGCAACACATATGTGTTTCGCTGATGCTGGGTTCCAGTGTTGGATAGAAAGACGTGCTTTGTCTCTGCGAGACACTTACTGTCAAACTACCAGCCACACCGAGATTACTGTTATAAAAGGGGATGCGCTCAGGGCCGAGAAGCATAAAAGAAGAGCGACCAGCTTGGAAAGTTGTCGGACGCAGACCGTGTCTCCATGAGCCACTTTCTGTGTGCTCAGCAGAATGAAACAGTTGGAAACAGTACAGGTGTTTGGTGTTGAGTAGAATTATGCTAAAATGTATTTTTAAATGTTGAGAAATATTAAAAAGAAATTTCCCCAGGATCTTCTTTTATTGATGATAAAATTGAACAGCAGGCCTAGGACATGAGGAACGATCAGATTCAAACCCCCTGCCCCCCTGCCACCCGGTGATCTTAGTGACTAACAGGATGAGCACTGGGTTGGGGGCAGGTACGTGTGGGTTTGAATTCAGGTTCTGCCGGATTTCCATTAGCTTTGGGACCTTTGCCAAGTCACCTTGCCCATCTGGGTCTGAGCCACAGGCTGTGACTCAGCCGAGGGCCACGCAGGCGCCCAGGTTGCCCGGGCTGCGTGAAGGGTTCGGTTCCCGACCAGGGCTCCTCCCGGCCCGGGTGCCGCCCTTTCAGGGGTCGCCCCTGTCACCACACGGCTCGCTGGGCTCGCTGCTCCCGCCGAGGTCTCGTCGAGCCGCAGGGTTAGTGCCGCCATGCATTTCTCCTCGGGGATGGGAGCTCCTGGCAGGGCTGCGTTACTCATTTTGTAAACCTGTAGTCGAGCACGTGGAGGCTCAGTGAGAGAGGGTCCCTGTCCGTCCGTTCTGTTGCGTGCTTGTGGGCTCTTCCCTCGGCGTCTGTCTGGTTGGGTGTTCCGTGCAGCGGGCCCCGACGGCCGTGTTGAGGGGTCCGCTCTCCCTCCTCGCCCTTCTTCCCCTTAGCTTTGCGCTGGGGCAGCGGCCCTGGGGGTCGGGGTGAGTGTAGGGAGGGCTGAGGCACTTGCAGCTGACGTGCCTTTATTTCAATCTCCCGTGACCCCGAGGAGCAGAGAGAGCGGGGATGCCTTTGCCCCTGTGATCCCGCAGGCACCAGCCAGGCGCCCGCCGCACGGACTCTGGACAGGAGGGTTGTTAGAAGCCACGTGCACTCTGCTGGGAAGGAGAGGTGATCTTGGAAATGCCATCTGGCAGGCAGAAGCCTCAAGTCACTTAAAAATTTGTCCTCATGAAGTTAATTAGTTGGTTAGTGGCTCAGTAGGAACTCTGTGGGGAAAATATTAACTTCACCAAGGACAATCCCATGATCCCATGAGAGGGAATAAAGTGTGGCAGGAAGGGAACTGGACTCTTAGGGGTTTTGTTGGGTTTTGTTTTGTTTTTTTCTTTTCTGCTCTCTGTGGACCGTATGTGAAAGCCTTTTGGTGGCTTGGAATGAAGGCCCAGGCCCTTTGGGTATCGCTGGGCGATCCCGAGCTAAAAGTTGGATTTCAGTCGGAAAACCACAAGTAATTCTAAAATTGATTTTTTACGTTATCTTGTCCTTGTAACAGTTCATGTTTCAGTAATTATTGCATCTCCATTGTTGTGCCAAGTGCGTGGGTTGTCGGGTAGTCCCAGCAGCCGCCCTGGAGGTGGGTGTGGTGGAGCTCTTCCACCAGAAGCAGGTTAGTAAGTGGTAGATCTGGAATTAGAACGAGGTGTGTCTGATTGCACCCAGCACCCAAGCTGTTTGCTCCTGTACTTTGTTATTCTAAGCATTCAGCTTTATGATTATGAGAATATGTAATTAAAAAGAAATACCCGAAGTTGACTGAGGAGAGGTAATGGGAGCCAGCGGGGTCCTGAACTAAGGCAGGGGTTTGTACGTGTTGGTTACTCTTCCTTAGAGCAAAGATGAAGGTGTTTTTATCCAAAAGGATGCAGTGGCCTTTTGACATATTGTGCTTAAGCTCTGAGGGTTTTGAATATGCTTAGCTCCGAAGGAGGGAAAACCTGTTACTTGG